GTTTTCTATTTCTCTCACTCCCTTTCTATTTCAGTTTTCTATTTCTCTCACTCCCTTTCTATTTCAGTTTTCTATTTCTCTCACTCCCTTTCTATTTCAGTTTTCTATTTCTCTCACTCCCTTTCTATTTCAGTTTTCTATTTCTCTCACTCCCTTTCTATTTCAGTTTTCTATTTCTCTCACTCCCTTTCTATTTCAGTTTTCTATTTCTCTCACTCCCTTTCTATTTCAGTTTTCTATTTCTCTCACTCCCTTTCTATTTCAGTTTTCTATTTCTCTCACTCCCTTTCTATTTCAGTTTTCTATTTCTCTCACTCCCTTTCTATTTCAGTTTTCTATTTCTCTCACTCCCTTTCTATTTCAGTTTTCTATTTCTCTCACTCCCTTTCTATTTCAGTTTTCTATTTCTCTCACTCCCTTTCTATTTCAGTTTTCTATTTCTCTCACTCCCTTTCTATTTCAGTTTTCTATTTCTCTCACTCCCTTTCTATTTCAGTTTTCTATTTCTCTCACTCCCTTTCTATTTCAGTTTTCTATTTCTCTCACTCCCTCTCTATTTCAGTTTTCTATTTCTCTCACTCCCTTTCTATTTCAGTTTTCTATTTCTCTCACTCCCTTTCTATTTCAGTTTTCTATTTCTCTCACTCCCTCTCTATTTTAGTTTTCTATTTCTCTCACTCCCTTTCTATTTCAGTTTTCTATTTCTCTCACTCCCTCTCTATTTCAGTTTTCTATTTCTGTCACTCCCTTTCTATTTCAGTTTTCTATTTCTCTCACTCCCTCTCTATTTCAGTTTTCTATTTCTCGCAGTCCATGCCTCCCATCTTTCCTCTACTCAGTAAGCAAGTGGTTCCCATCCTTTGATGCGCGTACCCCTAGGGGGAGGGGAATGCGCAAAGGACTGCTTGGGGATATGCAAAATTTATATTGATATTGGCGGGAAACGTCAAAGTATGTTGTCTAGCACCCGATCATTCACATAAAGTTATATGCAATATTTAGCGACACATTATCAACAAATCGTATGCAATACCAAAAAAATAATAATAATTCGAATAAAATTTTATTCTAAAGTCCGAGATAATAGTTTTTATTGATTTTGTCCAAGTTTCATGGCCAAATAAAATGTTGCAATGTTTATTTTTGTGATTCGTCTTATTTATTTGGAAATGAGGAAATTGAACTAATTTGTAGAGTAGACAAATAAAACCTTTCAATGGCTTTATCGTTATCGCCTTCATTTGATGACTTAGCTCATCTTTTTCTAATTATTTAAAGGAATTGTGGGGGTACTCACTCAGCATTGAAAAGTTTAATCAAACTTTTCGGGAGAGACACCAAAAAAAGTTGGAAACCGCTGCAGTATGCGGAAGACGTAACTATTTTTCAAACTTGTTCTTTATGCAAGTGAGCTTAGCAAAATACAAATGTGTGTAATGTACGCCTTAATTATGGACAAACCTTTTGCAACGATAGTTAGCTTGTTACCTGCAGATCGTGGAGCCACACAATTATAGTAGAAATATGTTAGATTATTTTTGTTGAAATCTCTTGCACTGTTATAGAGTCACCATCCTTGATTTTAATGCTCAATATTTTGCTTCAAAATATACGAATCAAAATCATTTTATTCAGTTAAAGTTTAAAGAAAACTTCTTAGTAAATAATTGTTCTTGATCAGACACAGCTTGAACAATGTGTTGAAATACTGACTCAATGTTTCACTGACTCGATGTTTCATTGACTCGATGTTTTACTGACTCGGTGTTTCACTGGCTCAATGTTTCACTGACCCAATGTTTCACTGACCCAATTTTTCACTGACTCAATGTTTCACTGACTCGATGCTTTACTGACTCGATGTTTTACTGACTCAATGTTTTACTGACTCAATGTTTTACTGACTCAATGTTTTACTGACTCATGTTTCACTGACTCGATGTTTTACTGACTCGGTTTTTCACTGACTCAATGTTTCACTGACTCAATGTTCCACTGACCCAATGTTTCAATGACTCAATGTTTCACTGACTCAATGTTTCACTGGCTCAATGTTTCACTGACTCAATGTTTCACTGGCTCAATGTTTCACTGACCCAATGTTTCACTGACCCAATTTTTCACTGACTCAATGTTTCACTGACTTGATGTTTTACTGACTCGATGTTTTACTGACTCAATGTTTTACTGACTCAATGTTTCACTGACTCGATGTTTTACTGACTCAATGTTTCACTGACCCAATGTTTCACTGACCCAATTTTTCACTGACTCAATGTTTCACTGACACGATGTTTTACTGACTCAATGTTTTACTGACTCAATGTTTTACTGACTCAATGTTTCACTGACTCGATGTTTTACTGACTCAATGTTTCACTGACTCGATGTTTTACTGACTCAATGTTCCACTGACCCAATGTTTCAATGACTCAATGTTTCACTGACTCAATGTTTCACTGGCTCAATGTTTCACTGACTCAATGTTTCACTGACTCAATGTTTCACTGACTCAATGTTTCACTGACTCAATGTTTCACTGACTCAATGTTTCACTGACTCAATGTTTCACTGACTCAATGTTTCACTGACTCAATGTTTCACTGACTCAATGTTTCACTGACTCAATGTTTCACTGACTCAATGTTTCACTGACTCAATGTTTCACTGACTCAATGTTTCACTGACTCAATGTTTCACTGACGCATTGTTTCTTTGGTGTAAGCTTTAAGAAAATTATGATAACCGAAATTTTAAAACGCCTCCCGGATGGGGGAGGGTGTGGAGAGTTCGTTCTAGGAATAAGATCATTGGTCAAATAGAAGTTGATGTCAACCTGACCTGTTCATGAACAATGAGTGATGATTAAGTTAATGAGGTGGCAAACTGTGTAGTTGAAAGGCCATTGACACAAATCTCAAATATCTCCCGATTGTGATTCTACAATCTTCAAGCAAGTAAGAAAACAATCACAAAAGGGTGGACATATCACGTGGTTTTTTGTTTTTTTTTAAGTGTTTGTTTTTTTAATAATTATTTTCTGACGTCAAAAAATGTTTCCTGGAGCCTTATTTTTGACGGACATCCTAAAGTTCTGTCCCTCCATGAACGGGCCGTTGGCGACCATGGTCATGACACAATTGAATTATCTACATTTATACAGAGCCACCTATTGGGCCTTTGTGGCAGCAGGGGACCTAAGATATGTATATAGAGCCACCTAGTCGGCCACGCGGCCTTTGTTGCAGCAGAGATCTAAGATATGTATATAGAGCCACCTAGTGGGCCATGCGGCCTTTGTGGCAGCAGGGGACCTAAGATATGTATATATAGCCACCTAGAGGGCCACGCGTCCTTTGTGGCAACAGAGATCTAAGATATGTATATAGAGCCACCTAGTGGGCCACGCGGCCTTTGTGGCAGTAGGGGACCTAAGATATGTATATATAGCCACCTAGAGGGCCACGCGGCCTTTGTGGCAGCAGTGGACCTAAGATATTCAAAGAGCCCAAAGTTGTGACATGGACAAAAAATTGGTTGTCAACTTTGAATGCAGAGTGACGCAAAACCTACAAAGGGCTGGGGTTGGGCTGGGTGGGGGATGTTCCAAGTTACTCGACTGCTTTGAATATATCGATAGCATCTTTACTAATAACTGTTCGTTAGCTATGTCCATTATTGCGTCACCATCTTTGATATAATATGTGTCCATAGCCACATACAACCTTGCGTTATAGCCTGTAATAGCTATCTTTACTTCGTCCGTAACTATGTGTCAAATGCCGTGTGATAGTGTAGATAGCTAATATGTCAGTTATTTATGATGTCTGATATGATGCCCTAAGTACATCCTGACCCTGTTCACAGGATGCCCTAAGTACATCCTGACCCTGTTCACAGGATGCCCTAACTACATCCTGACCCTGTTCACAGGATGCCCTAGCTACATCCTGACCCTGTTCACAGGATGCCCTAACTACATCCTGACCCTGTTCACAGGATGCCCTAACTACATCCTGACCCTGTTCACAGGATGCCCTAACTACATCCTGACCCTGTTCACAGGATGCCCTAACTACATCCTGACCCTGTTCACAGGATGCCCTAACTACATCCTGACCCTGTTCACAGGATGCCCTAGCTACATCCTGACCCTGTTGACAGGATGCCCTAACAGGATGCCCTAGCTACATCCTGACCCTGTTGACAGGATTCCCTAACAGGATGCCCTAGCTACATCCTGACCCTGTTGACAGGATTCCCTAACAGGATGCCCTAGCTACATCCTGACCCTGTTGACAGGATGACCTAACTACATCCCGACCCTGTTTGATGGTCCATAAACCATCCGCATATATGGCCATGTACATCATATTCTAAAATATTCGACATATCAGAAGCATTATTCAAGTAGATAAACAATAGAAAGATACACACATCGAGAGTAAAGACCAAGGATTTAATTTTGATGACCGAGAGATGAAATCGAATCATCTCTCTTTACACAATGCGTGTAGATAGACGGCTAAGCTTTTACCTTATCCATGCCGATTACCTGCAGATAATAATCAAAAAATGTTAAGCGATAGCATAACGAGATACGGTCAAGTGCCTAAGAGATTAATCGCAGCAGTAACACGTGCAGGTTATTGAATTGTGTGAATACACCGAGATGTTGACCACGCAATACGGGGACTCATTTTGTCTGATCCAGTGGATTGTATATACAGTGAGGATATACCCTGCCACCAAAAGAATGGCCTTTATACGTGTTGACAGTATTGCTGAATATTTTGAGCGCGAAATAGTCACGACCATCACTCGATTAACCCAGTAGTAATTCTATACTCTTAAATAGATGAGGTAGAGGTTTTAATTGTTTCATAATAAGTGCTTCTTCTACGACTCGTATACTTTCATAAACAATTCACTAGTTGATCTACGTCTTATAGTGTTTGTCTTATAATTTTGTTTGATTACCGTTTTATTCTTTCTTTCCAGATTTGAAACACACCAACAGCTGACGACCTGGTTCAAATTAACACAAACAATAAGAAATGGTATTTTTACGACTGAAAACACAATGTACCGGTAGCTTACAAAATTTTAAAAATTTCAACTCAAAGTTGTAATACTTTGAATACATTATCTGTGATGCCTTCTTAGACGACGCACACGATATAATTGAGATCAGCTGATGCTGGCTTCTTAGACGACGCACACGATATAATTGAGATCAGCTGATGCTGGCTTCTTCTCCGTGTACACTGTTCTGAAAACTCACCGAAATAAATGAGTCATACGGCCAGCCAGCCATGTTGAAAGTTCACTTCCGGCCCATTATTTTCTGGGTCAGTCTGCTGTATGTACTATCTGACACGTTAAAAAATGACGAGACGAGTTACTTAACACCCAACCATCAACTTCCATGTCTCCACACAACTACACAGTCCACTGGAAGTCTCTATGTGTCAGAGTTTACAAAGAGAAACGTCACTTGCGTCTGGAAAATCAATGTTACAAATGCTGATTCTATCAGAGTTGTCATTGGTTACAACATGGCATCCACAGTTCCGTTCAGAGTTCTCTTCTACGACGAACCTCCGAAAGAAGACAGTCTCCTCCTTACTGTCTGGCGCATCGGAGATGGAAGACATGTGCTCACTTTTCCAGGAAACCAGCTGTGGATAATATGTGCTCACCAAGACCTTGACTTTCTTGGTGTAAGTCCAGATCCTCGCATAACGCTGTCTTACCTTGCAATCGTTGATGGTACCGACATGACCTGTGATAACTCGGACATTATACTTTTAGACGACTTGCAAAAAAAGGTGGGTCACAGGCGACATATCGTTGGCCGCAACACATTTGGGTCATTTGCAGAGCTCGTCTGTGATAAGGGATTTGTTCTTGGGAATGGGAACGGTCGTCTGCAATGTTTGGCTGGAAATGGCGGGTTGGCCTGGGCATCAGACGGGTCAACCTGTGATACGGTATGTAAGCACCCACGAAATACCCCCAACGCAAATATCAGCCTTCAGATTGGCGGGCAACAAAGTCTGGACAGTGAACCTATGGTAGACATGGATCAAAAAATCTTGCCGACTGATGAAAGAGACGCTCAGATCCGATCAGTTGCGGAATATACCTGTGAAGAACCATATTACCCGAAGGGGGAGGATAGGATACATTGTGGACCTGACGACCATGGGATCCCGACCTGGTCTGGCCCACCCCCATTGTGCGTTATCCCAGACTGCTCCGAGCCATACATACTGACACGGTCCACTGGTTCCATAGTCAACCCGTCTCATCCAGGTGGGCGCTTCCAGAGTGGGTCTGTGGTTTGTACGTGGGAAATCATTGCCCCAACTGATGGATATGTCAGCCTGACTGTCAGATATGTCGATCTCCCTGCTGATGAGGGCGTGACTCTGAGCGTTTTTGACGCCGCGAGGCCACGCCCAGTTCAACTCCTACGTTTAACTGGGCATTCAGACGTTGTATCAGTGAACAGTGTGACGTCTCGGGTACTCGTGACGTACCGAGGTCCATCTAATGACGTCATTAATCACAAGGGATTTTATGTTGACTACGTCATGAAAACAAAACAGCTGCGCATTAAGCGGAACATTGACCTTAGTGACGTCAGACAAGCAGATGATGACCTTAGTGATGTCAGACAAGCAGATGATGACCTTAGTGACGTCAGACAAGCAGATGATGACCTTAGTGACGTCAGACAAGCAGATGATGACCTTAGTGATGTCAGACAAGCAGATGATGACCTTAGTGATGTCAGACAAGCAGATGATGACCTTACGTTACACGTTGATGACAACAGCGATAACTGGATCAGTGCAGCATATGTGACAGTCGACGAAAACTACGATGTATCTTTGGCAACCAATGACAAATCGCCTGACACATCGCCTGACACATCGCCTGACACATCACCTGACACATCAACTCTAGAAAACGTAAGTGAAGGAAAGCAAACGAAAAGTCACTTAACAAAAATAGAATTTTGTCTTTCTTTTGTTCCCACACAAACATACCCCACAATGACACGCCACACACACATACCACATTCATATATACACACAAAACTCTCTTACACACACACTAACATTAACTGATAAGTATACATTAGTAGTGATTTAGGGTGAGCTATTTGTGTAACTCTGTCGTCAATGGATTCAATGATTTAGAGAACGAGTCACAACTCCCAAACATGTAACAAAGCTGGGAACTCTTGTGGAAAGAAGTCTTTGTTAATAACATGTGTCCCATAAGTGATCCCAGTCTTGATTAAACCAATAAGCCGAGTAGGCTCGCCCCAGTCCCTCAGTCCCACAAATCTGTTTAGTAGCCAGGGCAGTGTGAAAGTGAGTGGGCAATAGGCATCCAATGCGGTCGCCATTTTCAGAAGGTGCCAGAATATTTTTTAAAGCAAACTATGCGTATGCATTTATCCATTTTGTGGAAGAGGTCACGTTAATTAAGGGTTTTCCCCAGGCTTCACTTGTGCTTGCCAATAGGACCTTCAAAACGTATACAGCCACTGTCTTAATTTATTTGTTATATATGTATTCCGTTTGTCTCTACCCTGAGATGGTCGTTGAAGCTCATTCGACTACTTGCAGTTTTCTCCCTTTCGATGTCTCCTCCTCCATCCATGTGTTCTAAAGTCTTTGTGAACATATTCACATCTTTGCTGCCTTTGTAAACCTTTATCTGGCACAGTAGGGCTCGCCTGGTCATAGACACAACAACAGATCATCAATAAACTAGACATGTGTCTTATTCCATGTGTCTTACTCCCTGTGTTATTATCCCTATATCTTCCTCCCTGTGTCATTATCCCTGTGTCTTACTCTTTGTGTCTTACTCCCTGTGTCTTTTTACATGTGTCTTGCTCCAAGTTTCTCACTCCTTGTGTCAACCACCCTCTTCCTTTAACGTGGCTGTGCCTGTACTGTCAGTTGTTAACTCTTAAGACACACATCCTTTATTTGACTGAGAGCCATTTGAAATTGACACATTTTAACTTAAGATTTGTGTTCCCTCTCATTTAGGTGATGGCGAGCTCTACTTTGTCCACACTACTTACCACAGACGGATTACCATCTGACGTTGCCACACAAAATCTTGCCTCAACTGTACCAGCTTCCCTTGCTCAACAAGTCGATACATCGTATGCACAAACCGTCAGTACTTCAGGTCGAAAAGCCGATACACCGCCAAGTCCCATCCCACAATATGTCCCCACTGACACACCAGTTGATCTGACCACTGATGAAATTGATAATGGGGAAATAACAACAGAAGTAACCACAGATAAAACTGATAATGGAGTAATTACGCCGGGAAAAGTGACCGATTTTATTGGTAGAGGTGAAATTACACATTATCCAGTCACACCGCTTGCTAAAAATCTCACCGCTCCCGTCCCGGATGACTCTAATGACGACTGGAAGATTGCAGTAGGTGTTGTGATCCCGCTGTTAATTCTCACGGTGGCGCTCTCCGTGGGCTACTACTGCTACAGGAGGAGGTACCCAGTGCGGATGATCATAGGCCGGGAGTTCGGGAAGTTCAGCAACCCGACCTACAGTCGATCCAAGCAGGTGATATCGCTGGTGCGTGACGATGCGGATGACTACTTTGCCCACAGGTCGACATCGACGCTGACCCTCGACGAGATGAACCCGGTCAACAGGAACATCAGCTACGACAACCCGGCCTTCGTGGCAGACGAGAGGGACGGCCGCGACAACGACGAAGAGGAAGAGAGAAGATTCCGGGAGAAGAAAGCCTGGCTGTTCAAGAAAGACGCTGAGGTCTCAGAAGCTCATCCCGTAAAGGATTCCGAAGGTAAAACGCATTCACGTGGTTCAGAAATAGAAATTCCGGGAGCGGGAAGCGAGGGTTTTAAGAACGCTGAAGAGATCCAAATGACGCCAATGGCTTTGCCGAGGAAAAAGAAACTGGCAAGAGCTCGTTCTGTTAGCATACTCACTGACACGTCGATTGAGTTGCAAGTTTCAAAATCAGAAACGTCTTCTGCGAGCAGCGAGGAAGTAGAAGCACCGTTGAAGGAGGATGCTTATCCCAGGTCCAGCTCAAACCCAACACTTGAGGATACGGACGGGACAGAAAGTGACTACATGAAAGTCGCTAAAATGATTTTCGAGCAGCCGTCCTACGAAGAGGTGTGCGCTGAGTACAAGGCGAGGTCAAGGTCGATGAGCTTGGACCGAGCTCCACCGGAATCAAGAATGAGGAGTTACAGCGTCGATCCTTTCAAGTCAGCTCGGAGGCATTCACTCCGCGGGGAGGTGATACAGTTAGAGCATTGGAGGAACATCGCCAACGACACTAATTTGCCGCGAGGAACGATAATCGCTGTGTTAGACAGTGAGAAACTCGGACAATCAGGCAAGTCCATCTCATCAATTATAAGCGAGACGCCCATCATAGACGTTAGTGTCCTGGATAGCCTACCATTTGAAGCCAGGGAGCGGTGTTTGTCATTCGACTCCCTCAACAGCAACCCCCACCTGGTGACGGACCTGGATGACGTCAGTACCGGAAGTAGCGCTCATGACGGCGAAGAAAATGGCAAAGGTTTCACTGCCGGAAAAGTTTTCTTTTCCTCCACATCGAGTGATTCATCGGACGGCAATAACTTTGAAAAGCGTTTTCCTCAAGGCGCTGACACAGGTTCAACAGAAGATGAACGGTTCTCTGATCCCATCGCCACAAATGAATCACTTTCTGAAGACATTTTTGTGACAGATGACGACATCATTTCACCGCTACCGAAGAATGAAGAGTTCAAAAGTGATCTATTTTTCTTCCCAAATGCTTGTATATCCGTAGATGAGAACACAGACTCCATGAATGTTGTAGAAAGTACAACTGACTCACGTTCGTCTCTGTCAACTCTTAACATTTCGTTAACTCCAGAGAAGGACGACTTTGATACTTCCGAAAATAAGTCAACAATTTTAAATTTTGGCGGCGTCTCTGATTTTGAGAAATATAATGAGGAATTAGAAGACAATCGTCCGATAAAAGACATAGAGAGTTCATCTTCGTCTAGTTCGTCTGGCTCAGAGAGTTCGAAATCCTCCAGAAGTAATTCATCAAGCGATGGTGAAGATGAGCTTCATTCATACAGCTTCACTCAGGAGAATCATGAAACACAAATGTCACAAAATGTGGGCGGTGTTGGCGTGGAGCGGGTGAGTCTCAACAGTGAGACCGACAGCCTACCTCCACCGTTACCCGTCACACCACCACCGATGCAACAATCACCCGTCCTAGGTCTAGTTACCGCAAGGCCTATAACTTTCTCAGCAGACGATGACTCCAATTACTTTCAGTTCCCACCACGAGACGCCATGACAGGGTCTAGGCAAATTCCCGGAGATCTACTAACCGATAATTCCAGTGATAGTACAGATCTGGAGTTGAATCCACGAAACGAAAATATCGGTTCCTCGATACTCCACCAAGTGGAAGGCGCCTCAAGGGACAACATCGTTCACTTACATGACTTTGAAAGGGGTGATGAAAGCGATTACGAGGCCAGGGAAAAAATCCTTGTTGAAGATATATCCCAGATTTTAGACAGCAGTGCAGACGAAGACAATGCAAGTCGACAGTTGCGTATTCGGAGTAGCTTCAGTGGACCCGTGAATTCAGATCTTGGAAATGCAGGAACTTTCGTCTTGACAGCTGAAGATGATGCGAATGACGACATAGATGTGTAATAAGTGTTGACAGCCGAATATTGTGCGAATGACGACATAGATGTATAATAAGTGTTGACATTTTAAATATAGCGGACACTGTTTCGATGCTGTCGTATTTGCTCGTGAGCTCGCGTGTGGCATTGTGTCATCAAGAGAATTCCGATGATCAAACTGAGAGTTCTGACTGATGATGAAAACATGCCGTGTCTCTTATATGTTATGTACTGAACAATTGTGCCATGAAATAAAATTGTATAAACAGGGCCGTGTGAAACAGGAAGGGGCACTTGTCCTTAGATAGGATCTTAAAAGAAACCAACGATCAAATGCCACGTACATACTTGTGCGAAGACAATGGGCGCTTACATCGTCTTTTACTGGTGTGCCCCGGGTGACAGTTTTTATTTTTTATTGATGGGTGGCATTTCAAGGTATTCGTAGCTGATGTTCCTGGATCTCTATATGTCATGTGACATGAGAACCAAGTTGATGGTTTTTCTAATAGACATGTCATATCACTTAAACATGAACATTATGGGAAATGGTATCATTATTTTTAATTTGTTGGCACTGTGTGTAAGTTTTTTGTTGTTATTCTTTTGAAGAGGGTTAAATGGTATTTAAAAACATATTGTTTCTTTTTATCTATTGACATATGAAGAGATATAGGCATACATAGAGATGTTGACATATATAGAGATATTACAACTATAGAGATATCGACAAATATAGATTGACATATATAGAGAGATATTGACATTTATAGAGATATTTACATATATAAAGATAGTGAGATATATAAAGATATTGACATACATTGAGATATTGACATACATTGAGATATTAACATTTTTTTAAACATGTTATTTGTCATAAAATTGTGGGAACATATGTTTATACCCTTTAAGTTATTCATTTGTGTACATGTGCAATCACAATAATGTCCATTTATTACAACGAATACTAATGTTACGACCGGTATATAATTTATTCAATGGATTGTGCAATACTGTGTTTTTTTTATATCACATGTGCGTATGCAAATAATTATTTTGATGCAGAGCAACATTTTGTTAGGTTAGACTTTTATAGCCTACAAAGATAATTATGTGACCTTTGGTTTTATTATTTAAAGAAAACTTTTACAAATCTTTTATACCCGGTATTATTAACTTCGCTTTTGACTTTAGTTCGTGCCTGGCTGACAAAAATGCTCGGACGGCTAACTGACCCACTTCCCGTCAACCTAAAGAGCTGAAACTTGGCACATACACCCGTTGCCGATGATAACACGACATTCTTCAAATGTTCAGCCCCCATCCCCAAAAACCACCCCCAAAACTAAGTTGGTCCTGTTTCTCAATGGGAAGATGAAGGAAATAGCTTGACACTGATAACACGAAAAAAAATAGAAATAACGATAACTGCGCCAAATGAGAGTCTTGAGAAACAAAAATATCGCAAGTGCATTGGGTACTTTTGTTTTTCTGAAATAGTTGGGGCAATCAATCTGCGGTGCAAAAGTGGGTAGGTAATTAGAATATTAATATAATTCAAAAATGGATTTGGTGGTGGTTGGGGGGGGGGGTATTTTAAGCCTTAATTGCTGTTTT